ACAAGTCGACGGGCGGCTATAAGCCCCACCGCATCATACTCTATCGCGACGGTGTCTCCGAGGGCCAATTCCCCCATGTCCTCCAGCACGAGTTGACCGCCATTCGGGAGGCCTGCATCAAGCTGGAGCCGGAATACCGACCGGGCATTACGTTCATCGTAGTGCAAAAGCGTCATCACACGCGTCTTTTCTGCGCGGAGAAGAAGGAGCAGAGCGGCAAGTCGGGCAACATTCCCGCAGGCACCACCGTCGATGTGGGCATCACACATCCCACCGAATTCGATTTCTATCTGTGCAGCCATCAAGGCATCCAGGGCACCAGTCGCCCGTCGCACTACCACGTTCTGTGGGACGACAATCACTTTGACTCGGACGAGTTACAGTGTCTCACGTATCAGCTGTGCCACACGTACGTGCGGTGCACCCGCTCCGTCAGCATACCGGCGCCAGCGTACTACGCCCATCTAGTGGCCTTCCGTGCCAGGTGAGCCCTGCAACCCCAAATTTGAGATTAAGTAATAACATAAATGCATCTTTTGTAGATACCATCTGGTGGAAAAGGAGCACGATTCGGGCGAGGGCTCGCACCAGAGCGGCTGTTCCGAGGACCGCACGCCAGGCGCCATGGCCAGAGCCATCACTGTGCACGCGGACACCAAGAAGGTCATGTACTTTGCCTAAAAAGTATCGCCCCATATGCCAACACCAAAAAGCTAAAGAATACAAAATCAGTTTCGAAATTAAATTCGAATAAGCTATTCCCCCCACTTCCTTCCCTCAGATCAGCAAGCGGTTGAAAGCCAGGCCTAGAAATTTAAAATTAAGTTTTAAGTTACATTTTACGTTGAGTCAGCGCGATGGGAGGTTAACCAACGAGAATACGAAGATCTTGCATGCATTAGTTATTTAGTAAGCAAAAGAAAATCCCACAAAGACACAAAAACAACACTCATCCACTTACAAAGCAGATAGCACACAGTGAGAAATTTTAGGAATAGGCAATCGAATGTTATGCACAAGTTTGCGCAACCGAAGAAGAATAAACGAACCCGAAAGCGAAATGTGAGAATTCTCAAAAACAAGCGTAGCAAACAAATTGAAAGAAAATAGGAAATCAACTAAAGGGAACAAAAACTACGACAACAACACCAACCAAATCACGATAACAAAAAACAAAACAAAAAAAACATGGAAAAGCGTCATCCACACGAGAGAGAGACAACTTTTGTAATAACAATTACGATTACATTGTACAATATATTTTTACACGATACAAAATGAAGACATGATGAATGAATATGAATGAATGCATACAACCAAAGGTTTTTAGTATACAAAATGAATACGTTGCTGATCGAACCACACAGCAAACACCGCAAGAACACCAATCACTCGGATTCTCTGTACTGTGAACGAAGACCACCACCAAATTATAAACAAAAACCACAAGCGACATTAAAGCGAGAAGCATTGAAAGAGTGTAAACACAACTTAGCATGTATGTACTAATGAAATACTTCAATAACTAGGGCGCTGATTAAATAAAGCAAGAACATTTAATAGTTTGTAAGTTGGGCTCTAGTGAAAAATCAGAAAATAAAAGATCAGATTAATGGTCTATAAGAGCGCGGCGGTATAACGAGAACTGCAATTTCAACAAGGGACAAACTTTTGGTCAAAACAATAGCTATACTTACAGAGACGAGCCTAATATATAAATACCTAAGCCTAGATCTAACATTTAACGTTTTTACAAAACAAAAAAAAACAGAATGGAACTGTAACAAGATTAGAATTCTTGAAGTCGAAAGTGCAAATAACGCGGTAGCAGTTACGTTGGCAGTGCTGATATTTTATGTATATCTTTAGTTTACCCTCTTGTATGCACACAATCAGACTCCGAACTTCTCCCCTTCCCGAGTCCAAGGCATATCACTCAATGTCCTCTTATTTATGTACCTCCTACACTTAACCTAAAGATATTTAGTTGTACTTTATAATTTTTTTAAAAGCGTAACGAAATTTGTTGATTTCTTCATGTTGATTCTTCGAATGGGAAAACATCGCGAACATGCCTGTTTTTCATTGTAATTTCGTATTAATTAACTTTAGAGCAAAGTGGTGTACGGGTAATATAAACAAGGTAACTCTTATCCACCGTCCCCCGGAGAGAGGTGGCAACTACATTTCAATATTTTACAAAGTAGTTTTAGTTTCGTCAAAATCAACAAGCAAAAACAAACAAACAATATCAATATGAAACGTATGCTTAATATTTGTACTATATCGAGGACACAGTTCAAGTTAACATTATGATGAGTTGTTATTTATGCGGTGCGGGCGAGGACGATCTTCTCCGACTCCCCCGGACCAAACCTTATTTTTACTTGTGTACATCATTCACAGATCCTTTAATTTAGATTTAGTTACCAATTTTGCAAGCTGTTTTGCCAATCGTACATAATGTGAGCATTATAAAATACATAATATTTAAATCAATATGCTTATATTAAATCATTTATTGCACTTACAAATTAGTTGGTAATCCTCCAAAAAAATATATAAAAAAAAATATACTGAGGGAATGTCACAGCCGGCCAAAATGTTAAATCAATCCTTCAGAAATCTCTAGGGATTTAATTTCTTTAATTGGCTGAGAAATATACAAAAATGGATCTTCAAACTTCCTATATAAGATTCATAATTGCCTACATTTATGGAAATATATATCAATAACAAAAAAGTTTTCTAACTGAAATATTCGTAGGAAATTAAATTTTGTGATGTTTTTTTTACATATTTGTGAAGCCAGAAATGTTTAGAAGCTTATCATTGGTTTTCTGGTTTTTAAAATCCAGTACTCTTATAAACTAATTTTCTCAATTACGAATATTCTTTCATTTTAACTAGTCTTCTAACAGAGGCTTACCACAGAAAGATATATCATACCCGAGATAAATAGCTTATTTTTGTACTGAATTTGAAATTGATTAACATTTTGTGGGGCTGTGAAGTCAAAGTGGGGCCGTATTTGTTGACTTTTTAAATTGTAATTGTTCACTTTCCATTTGTTTTTTGTAGTTTCTACACAAGGGATTAAAATTTTAAATTTATTTCTTAATTTTTACTTAAAGCAACCCGAAGCAAAAAACAAACAACCAATTTTAGTTCTAAGCAAAAAACAAAAACGAAACAATGCAAAGGAGTTCGCGATTCGGGGTCGATTTCAGATCGCCCAGACAGAACCAACATTTACATTATATATTCAATTAGTTTAAGCTGAAGCTGAAAAGTGTGCCGACAATGAATGCATCTCGTAGTTGTAAAATGAGCGAAATATTCAACAATAATTTACTTTACCAACACAATACATGAGAAATGTCCAAAGCTTTAACTACTCGCAAAAAAAGAAGCGGAATATTGACGGGAAAACCACTAATCACTAAAAAAAATGCCAATAAGCTGCTATCTCCCATCCAAAACAATGGGCTGTAACGGTTGTCCCTATATACACGCGTAAATATATAAAGTAAACTTGAGAACTCCAATTTTCCCCAAGAAACTCACACACACTACAATTTCAATGGTTTCTTCAGTATCGTGCAGCTAAAATAAAAGTTTGAGGAGAAGGTTGGAGATAGTGGAACGCCTTAGATATCATTTCCAACCTATGTTCTGCTCCAGAGGCCCAAAAAAAAGACAAAAGGCCGGGATTTCCACATGGGAACTTAAATTTTTATCTGTCAAAATTCAATTGAGCTTTAAACTAAAGATAAATCGAGAAAAACATGAAAAAAACACAAAAAAATAAGACAAGAAGATAAGTAAGAAATAGAATTGGGGTCGCATTGTTTTTACATATTACTTATAAATGTGCCGTTTATAGATGTCTACAATTATATACAACAAATATAGATATATACCTAGATATATAATCAGATCGAAATCGAAGCTAGAACAGCAATTTGCACAACTCTTCCTAAAGGAAATAAAAATACAAATCTAAATCTAAAAAAAATTATATGCCACAATTACCGAGATTTCAAGAAGTGACGGACTAACTCCAAGCAATTATAAACGTTATATTTGAATAACTAACGTATGATATGTGTGTACTCTATACTCTTCCAATTAGTCCCCGAGTCCTACCCTCTGAAACCTAGCCCACGCGCGCGATAACCATAGCCCCACAATCTCCACTCTCGATGTATTGTTCCAAATACGAATCAGATCAGATAGCCCTTAGCTGAAATTGGACTAGCAAAATCAATACGATAATACCACTAATAATGGCGTTAAGATTAAAGAGATCATCTGGTACATCCCTTACTTTAAAAATCAACCAAAATGCCGGGTAATTAATCAATAAAATACATATTATTAGTTCTAATTTAAGCGGAGTAAACAAAATACATCAACATAATGATAAATATAAAAAGCAACGTGAGCAACGTAATATGGGAAATCTGTAACTTTGGTGATCTTTTTAAATGTTATTAGTAAAACAAAACAAAATCAAGTTTATTGAGGAATACAAATCAAACCAGTTTTAAATGTGACTTAAAATACGACGTAAACGACAATTTTCCACAAAATTAAATAAGTAACAAGGCAAAACCAAAATCCGAGTTTGTGTCATATGCAATTTAATGAAAGTTGATGATCTTTTCGATAGAATTATGTAAAGCTGTCTAACAATTAATTATAAGCGCTTCAATACAAATACAATTTAACAAAAATCAACAAACTCAATTAAGTTAAAAAAAACACAATTACATTATACAAAAACTATGTTTTATACAAATTACATTTATTTTTAAAAAGTTTTGCGGCTTTGTTTTTTAATCTGAGTTCAAAACATAAAACCCAAACCAACCTTATAGAAAACAAATAATTTCTGTTTGCGTTTATAATAAGAAAACAGCATACACAATTCATTTTTGTTCAATAAAAATATATTTAACTAAACATTCGACTTGCCTTTTGAGATTCCGGCTAGAATGCTGACAGTTGTGAGGAAATCACTGGCCAGCTTGGGCCTACAGCTGCAGCTTGATCTCCTGGCCAGGTACAAATCCACCCAGGATGTCAAGAACGCTCTGATCATCTTGGCCCCGGGAGCCGAGGAAATGGAGTTTACCATCTCCGCGGATGTTCTGCGGCGGGGAAAAGTAAGTTTGGATGGGTTAAAGTTTTTAATATGAAATGAAGTGCTAAAAATACGTCAATTCGCTGTGGTCTCAAAACAACATTTTTTCTCATAATATATTGGCAGATATTTACTTAAATCAAAAAGCTTATTTGATTAATTGGAAACAAGTCACTTAGTCTTCTATTATAAGCTTAATGTTTCTGCGGACAGTCTAAGCAATTTTGAGAGTGTCACTTTAACAGCAAATATCTTTGTTAATAGGTGATACAAAACAACAATGAAGCTTTTCGCATGGATAGTCCTTTATATTATAACATATCTTTAAGAAAATCTGAATGGTTCTTTTATAATTTTATTTGTTTGTGTACAGCGGAAGATTATGTTAATTATATCCTACATTACTTCTTAATTTATTAACATACTATTTCGTTGTTCAACGATAAATAAATTTGTACTCAATTGTTGTTTTCACTTCGGATAGATCAATGTCACGGTGGCGGGTTTAAATGACTGTGAGCCGGTCAAGTGCTCTAGGAGTGTGGTCATTGTGCCGGATACTTCTCTGGAGCAGGCCTTGAGCCACGGAAATTATGACGTGGTGGTGCTGCCTGGAGGATTGGCTGGTAACAAAGCTTTGATGAACTCGCCTGCTGTTGGTGAATTGCTGCGGTGCCAGGACTCAAATGGAGGAATGATTGCTGCTATCTGTGCTGCTCCCACTGCGCTGGCCAAACACGGAATAGGAAAAGGAAAATCTATTACATCGCATCCAGATATGAAGCCCCAATTGAAGGATCATTATTGGTATGTGTCTGGTTGCTTAAACAATTTGCACACTTTACTTAAAATGAATTATTAATTTAGATGAGGTTCATATTTAAATCTTAATAAGACAAAGTTTAACTTCGGCAAGCTAACGCTTACAGATCCGTGGAGTTGTAAGAAAAATGTATTAGTAAATATATATATATATATATATATATATAAGTATACTTACTGTGGCTCACAGCTTATTTCAAACAGCACTTAATCAAAAAAGGTTGAAGTAAACATAATATTAAAAAAATTAAAGCGAAATTTTTTTTTTAAATACTTTTAATTTGGTTTTTGTTTTACCTAATTTCGAAATATTCTTTGTAGAATTAATTTGAAACAAGAAAGGAAACAAACTTCGGAAAGCCGAAGTTTATATACCGTTGCAACTGTTATAACAATGAAGCTAGGTCGATTTTTCAATCGTTTCTAAGGCAACTCTATGATATAGTCGTCCGATTTTTATTAAAGTAAAAGCGTAAATTTGAAATCTTTAAAATTGACAACGAAGCTATAATTTTATTTCTCTTTTCCTAATGACTATATGATATAGTCGTATATAGATACATGTATATGCTAATAAACAACAAAGTTACAATATTAATTCTATTTTTTTCCCTATTTTTCCAATGGGAGCTATATGATATAGTAGGCCGATCCTGTCAGATTCGTCTTACATGTTAAATCCCGCCCGTTCCTACTTATAAGACTTTTGGGAAAGTTTCATCCAAATAGCTTTCAAACTGAGAGACAAGTTTGCGTAGACAGATGGACATAGCTGTATCGACTCGCCTGGTGATGCTGATCAAGAATATATATACTTTACACGATTCCTAGTGCCCTTTATTTAAAACTTTTGACTTGACCTCTGAAAGGGTATAAACATATAAAATGACAGCTATATGAAAGTATCAAACAGGATAGGTAGAAAACTTCGGCAAGCCGAAGTTTATATACCCTTACAGTTATTACAATAAGACTACATTTCGATTTCTAGACTATACTTCTAAAAACAAGACGGGAAAGCTAACTACGGGCGGAGCCCCTTGCAGAATATTCTGTAAATTATACACTCATAAAAAATACCAACTTCCTAACTTTAACAAGAGAGAACGCTATAGTCGGGTGCCCCGACTATCAGATACCCGTTACTCAGGTAAAGGGAGGGAGATGGAGATAGAAACTTTGATCACGCATAACTTTTTAACGAATGGTCCGATTTGAAAAATTTCTTCTACATTTCGATAGGTATTGATAAACACAATTAAACTGCATTTTTACTTTTCCGAAATATTTAAATTTTTAAAATCGTATTTAAGCGATTGTGGGCGTTAAAGGGGGCGTGGCAAACTTGCGCTGCGTAGGAACTCCTAGAATCTGCATGCAAAATGCCAATCTTCTAGCTTTTATAGTTTCCGAGATCTCAGCGTTCATACGGACAGACAGACAGACGGACAGACAGACGGACAGACGGACATGGCTATATCGACTCGGCTAGTGACCCTGATCAAGAATATATATACTTTATAGGGTCGGAAACGCTTCCTTCTAGCTGTTACATACTTTTGCACGAATACAATATACCCTTTTACTCTACGAGTAACGGGTATAAAAACACAAAAGTTATGGCATTTCCAATCGTTCAGTTATATGACAGCTATAGGATATAGTCGGCCGATCCATATGAAATTTGGTAGGTCGGATTGATTGGCCAAATATAAAACCCATAAAAACTTCCTATCTGTACAAACACCAAGGTTATGGCATTTCCGATCAATCAGTAATATGGCGGCTATAGGATATAGTCGGGCGATCCCGGCCGTTCCGACTTATATTCTGCGTGCAAAGGATCGAAGGGTGCGTGCAAAGTTTCAATTCGATATTTTTAAAACTTAATATATATATTTTATATGATCGGAGATGTCTCCTTCACTGTGTTGCACACTTTTGACTCAAATTATTATACCCTCTGCAAGGGTATAATAAATAATTTATACTTAAAAGAAACCTTTTTGATGTCACTAAATGAAACTAATATTGTTCCTGGTTTTATCTGCTTAGCTATATTGATGACGCTGACGTGGTTCAGGATGGAAATATCATAACAAGTCGAGGTCCTGGCACATCCTTTGATTTTGCCCTGAAGATTACCGAGCAGCTTTCTGGCGTTAAAGTGGCCCAGGAGGTGGCCAAGGCAATGCTTTGGACATATAAATCTTAATTGCAATTAAAGAAAATTAATTATGTACTAATAATAAACTTTGGACATACTTGAAGACATCATTGAAATTACTAGAAAGTTTGAAGTTTTTTTTACATATGATAAGTATGGTCATATGTGAAACTATATGAATTGAATACATTTATTTAGCAAGACCGAAAAGGTTTTTTTGTCCAAAATAGATTTGTTATAAAACATTTAAAATTTTTTTTATTTTTATATTTATTGTTGAACACGCCACATAAGGATGGGTCTTGTATTGTCAAATTATTTCTAAAGATCCCAAAAAAAGCGTGTAGCGGGTGCACCATTCTTGGGCAAATCAGGTGTGGTCAAAGCCGGTCATAAGTTAATCAAGATGTGTGCTTATAGAAGACGACCGTGTCTGTCACGGCCGAGAATCCATAAGACTGCCGGGTGTCGCCTGCGGAGCACCGTTGGCAAATTAATCAAGTGGTGTGGTTATAGTCGCCCGTGTCTATCAGGGACGGGAATTCATAAGAATCCATAAGAATAAGACCTGATTTTTTACATAATAATGCCAGTTAACCCACAACATTCTCTTTGTAATGCACCTGTGCACCCGTTTTATTGATGATTCAGTTTAACGTTGGGAGTGCAATGGCTTCAAAGAGCCACACCTTGGCCTGAAGGGATTGACCTCTACCTGGATGAAGCAGTCAGTCCATTATATCAAGTTTCGTCCTTGCTGACCCACATGTCAATACAACACCTACTGTCTAGGTAACTTTGAGATATTTAACCTTTTCTTCGTGCTTAAGTTGCATATGGGACGCGTCCTTGCGGGAAACCTGCACACCAGCATATCATTGGGCTTACGTTTAGCAACAGCCTCTTAATAAACAGGACATCGGCGCGAGGTGGCACTTCAGTTACTACCATAGTTATTGCAATTAATCGGATATAGATCTTTGTTGGTTCTAGATGGTTCCAGGGGGGCTGCCCCAAAACTTTAAGTCTCCCAGTAGTTTAAGCTACGACTAAGATTGACTAAGATAATGTGATGACGAAAGGCCAGTTAATTTTGGAATCGAAAGGGGCTGACAGGGATTCCGTTATCATTAAACATGCATTCATGCAGAGCAACCCTTTAGGATGATATACTAGTCGTCTTGATGCGTTTACCAGTGATCACAGAATATAGTAAATCAATTAGTTGCCTTAAATCGGTGACAACCCTCAGAGGAAAGTGTGGAGACATCATCATGATCAGATAAAATAGCAAAGATATTGTTTTTACCTAAGTAAGTAGAGTCTCCACCATTTCAGGGAGGGGATTGTATGATCCATACTGAGGCTGCAGCTTGGGGACCATTATGGTCGCAAACAGGGTTTAGCAGCGAGGACTTATTTTCCTGAATGAAGCGCCTTTCATCAGCACCACTCTTACTAATCAACTTGGGGTATTGAGATATTCAGATGAGCAAATTTTTAAAAAACTTTTTACAGCTTCTATTTAAAATATTGCGTTTTCCTCGTTCTCCATTGTTGAAGGTGGGATCCAAATTTTTGGCGACCAGCCTTACAGACACCTTATTAGGAGGGACAACCTCGAGTTACGCGTCAGGCCATAGTACGCCTACAGTGTTTTCAAAGACTTTTACTGATTCCGTTTGGCACATGCCACAACCTTGGCTCCCATAAACCCATTGATACTTTCAAATTCGGGAAGGGACATGTCTTCAAGGCCTGGTTGATCGCACACCCCAGAATGGTCCAGTTATCGACGAAGAATTTCTTTTCCAGATGCCTTACCTTTGGTTGACTATCAGCGATCTGGGTCACGAACGATTTAAACCTTTATTTCTGAGGCCCTGCATCGTAACTTTTCTCCAGCTCCATTTTGGTTAATTCGGATCCACCTACCATTTTATTCTAACTGCCAAGGACCTCGAAACCATGGTCACACACTAGACCCCAGCTAGACAGAAGCTAACAGGTACCTTTTCCTGTCCTCGAGACGCCATTACCTTATAACTCGGATTGTAGCCTGGTTGATGAACAACCTCGGCTCCAAATGACGTCATTTGAGAGCATCCGTTATATTTTTGTGCAAGCTTTAGGAAATTGTTTGATTGGGCTGAATTTCCATATAGTAGCGAATACAATGGCTCTGGTGGATGAGCATAAGCCGGGGGTTTCCAATCGAAACTTCAGTGCATTGCAATGCTGACATAAGACAGACAATGAACCAATAACAACGCAGCTATGATCTTTGTAGGGTGTTTCGGAATTGTATGCGAATGCAGCGCGATTCAAGTTTTTATTTGCGGCTGGTCTTCTTCTACTCAGATTTTGTCGGGCTTGAGGTGGTCTTTGTGCAGCGCGAAGCTGTGCAATTCGGGCACGTGCCGATGCATTTACCTCTTGCGTTCGATTATTACGGACATTCTGAGAATGTATCGCATTGCGTGAACGCCGTCCAAGTCTTGATCTAAAAGCAGGCATTATTTCCAATTAAAACTTTGGCAATGTTTCGTTAACTCGATTTCTTACAGTTTTATGTACAACAATGAAGGCATTATTTCCAAAGACTGCTGTTTTAACAGTTTTATGTACAACAATGAATACATCTCTTGAGCCGATAGCGACTTTTCCATTTTTTTTTTTTTTTTTTTTTTTTATAGTTTATTGAACACGCCACACAAGGATGGACCTTATATTTCGTGTATTGACTAATTATTTCAATAAAGATCCCAAAAAATGCGGGCAAGGGCTCCATTCTTGACAAATCAGGTGTGGTCATAGCCGGTCAAAAGTTAATCAAGATGTTTATTACAGAAGGCGACCGGTCTGTCACGGCCGAGAATCCATAAGTTGCGGGTGTCGTCTGCGGAGACGCCGTCGACCCAGTGGTGTTGCAAGATGTCTTGCCAGACAGTTTGCAATTTTTTCCCAAAATTTTTTTATGTATTAACCTTATTCTGGCAATTACAAACAACTGAAAAAAATTTGAGCCAAATCGGCCCAGCCGTTCTCTTGTTTTGCGATGGCGTACATTTTTTTCACCATTTTTATATATATAGATACGAATGTGTTCATAAATAAGATATGTATATAAATAAACATGCTAAATTAAAATACATTATCAAAAAACATGTCTCTTTATAAAAAATATTACTAATTAAAAAAAAATAGCACTAAAATTAAAACATTTTTTTAGTTTGACAGTTAGTATTATTTTGTAGTATTATTATCCAGATTTTGGGATGATTGAGCTAAAATTGGAATATCATTTTCTGCTTTTTTAATTAGAACAAGAAAGGAAAGCTAACTTCGGGCGGAGCGGAAGTTGATATACCTTTGCAGAATATTCTGTAAATTATATTGGTTGGCCAAAAATAAAACCCATAAAAACTACCAATGTGGCAATATGGCATTTCCGATCGTTCAGTTGTATGGCATCTATAGGGTATAGTCGGCCGATCCCGTTCTGACTTATATACTGCGTGTGTGCAAACTTTCAATTCGATATCTTTAAAACTGAGAGACTAGTTCGCGTAGAAACAGACAGACGGCATGCTTATATTAACTCAGGACGCGATCCTGATCAAGAATATACAGAATATTCACTGCGTTGCACACTTTTGACCAAAATTATAATACAAGGGTATAACAATGTTCGCAGCATTTCAGGGGAGCCTAACTGCACTGAAAATCAATATTTTGTTTTAGTAGGAAAAGTTATTTTAAGAGTGCTAATTAATTATTTTTATTTTCGACCTATTGCAGGAAAAGTCTAGTCCTTCTTAGCAAAAACAAATTCGCACAGAAATCTCTTCGTTTTAAATTCGTTAAAAAGGAGAATGTCATCATCAACCAAAGAGTTTCTGTGTTACCTCCGAATAGCTTTAAAAAGAGAGATTTGTAAAATGAGTTTTAATTGTGGAATCTTATCTATCTTATCTTTTCTTTTTCTTTTATATACTGCTGTCAAGTTTTTAAAAAATCCGGGAAAAATGAATTTTGAGCATATCGATATTTTGCTATCGGAATCAGTTCACGGCGAACCAATAAAAAAAGACAGCATGTTAACATTTCTGTTACGTGTCGATGTTATCGAATCAAATAAATTGAAATATAAAACATGCTTAGGCAATTTTGTAAGAGTTAAGTTTATGAAATGTAGTTAATCTAAGATAATATAAAAATAAATAATAATTGCATATGTAAAATTAAATAAAATTAAATTTTAAGTGTATGTGTTATAATCAAAGTGCATTTTGTATGTGTATGGGGCGTATGAACTGGATTAACATATTTTGGTGAGACCATTTTTGAAAGTTCGAGTGACGATCATTTTGCAGTGTGGCCGGAGGTGCCCGGTTAGTAGGGTAGTTTTTCATCCATTACAAAATAACACGCAAAATCGTTAAAGGTGGTGGATTTTTCGTTGGATGGGCACAGTTAGTTTTCAATACTCGTCTCACCACCTCTACTGGAAATCGGAAGGTTCAACTTTGGCGCGGAGCGTAAAATTTTTTGTGTGGTGGGAAACTTGTCGAAGACAGTCGAGATTCGGTAAAGTTTATCCGTATGAGTAGACCGTTTTTTGCGCCCCCGTTAGCACGTGAATAGTTTGTTGTTGTTGCGACCGATGCACTTGCAGCCCATTGTGTGAGTGTGCGGTTTCGTTGCATAGTGTGAGTGTAGACGGGTCATTAAATCTGCCGCTTCATTTTCTGCTGCTGTTCTTTTGTTTTGGGTAAATCGCACAAGTGTAACGGTTTTTCAAGAAGTGCAACAACCAAAACAGCAACAGCTACAGTCATGTAAAGTGTGTGTAACGAGAAACGCGAAAAGTGCAGTTCATTTAAACTGCAAACGAAATTGCCATAAATTATTGTTATAAGCTTCAGAGTTGCGTGATGAAAGAAAAACAGTGCAATGGCAAATGAAAAGCGCTCCTAGCGAAAAATATAGTGGAAAATATTGTGTATATAACAGTGAATAGTAAAAATTAAAATAAAGAAGGAGCAAAAAGTATAATATAAACCAGGAAAATAGTGGAAGCAGCCACAACAAAAAAAGAAG